GAGCTAAAAGGGGTGGAGGGATAACTAAAAGCAAGCCACTGAAAACTGAGCATGCTCAGTCATCACAGAAATCTGACTGACTGGGGAGAGTGGCAGGAAAACTGGCGCTGGAGGAGGGAGAATAAAATTGAGCATCCTAAAGAGAGCATGGCTTGGTGTCAGGAAACCTTAATAGGGCCATTCTACCCTGAAATGTGGTGCAGGTCCCACATGTACTAGTTACATACTAGCCATTGTCTCAGTCATGGGCACTGTAGTAAAGGCAGATTCTCCCTCCCCCCACAAAAAAAATACTGTTGCTTGAAAATAATTGCCGTACTTTTCCGTGTATAACTTTCCCCCATGTATAAGACGACCCCAATTTCTTGGGACTGCAACAAAAACATGGGGGGGGGGGGAATTGCCCAAAATTGTTGAGATTTTTTTTGCCAATTGTCAGCAGACCTTGTTGCAGCAACCAATCACACAGCCAATCGCTGCTGACAATCTCTTGCTGGCTGCTGCCACCAATTGCCTGTTCCCCTTTGCTATCCATGTATAAGACGACCCACAATTTTGGCCTATTATTTCTAAGGAAAAGATATTGCCATACATGGAAAAATACGGTACTTGTTCTCTATCAGTTTAGTCAGAATTCCTAATATGCAAGAAAGTTTTTAACATTCGCAGCTTTTTAGAATGATAAATATATGATTATCGAATCTAAGTATATAACTTTATGCGATGCTAATTTTATTTTTTGAAAAACATTGTGAAACATTTTGTGTTTGTTTTTGAGAGAAGAAGGCCAAAGACTGGTCACATCTGACTAAGGCCCCCAGTTAAATGGGACTCTTCCCGCTTTCAAAAACTGGTTAATGAAAACAAAACACCCACAATTTCTTTCTTCTGCAGTTATCATATGGAATTAGACTTTCTTAGGTGCTGAACTTTATTTCAAATGCTTTTCTTGCTAAGGATCTGAATTGTTGAAGGTGAAGAAATTTTTAATTGCAGCAATTACATATTTACAGACTGCATATTCTACACATTATTAAAACGAAAGTTAATTACTTCCCTGCAATCTAAACAAAATTCAAACAAAATTCAAGGGGACAGCTATGGCTTAGTGGAAAACACATGCTTTGTAAATAAAATATCCCAGTTTCAGTGTGTGGCATGGGTGGGGGAGACCCCTGCTGAGTGAAAACAATACTGTGAGTGTAAACAATACTCAGCTAGATGAACCAATCATCTGACTCGGTATAAGGCAGATTCCTATGAACCATAGTACTAAAGAAATAAGAATTTGAATTTTGATTCTGCCATGTACTCACTAGATGGCTTTAGGCAGGCAGCTTTCTCTGACACTTTTCCACAACTATAACATGGTAATAATACTACCAACCTATCTTAAAGAGGGTTTTTTTGTAATGCTTACAACAATAAAATAATATATGTTAAATGCACTAAGCATTCTAAGAAACTGATAAATGCCAAATATAAATTGTATTAATTAAATAAATGTTATAGAATGAGTACTATAGGTATCACTAAAGTTTCCACCTCCTTCCTAGTTTGGGAAGGATCACTTGAGACTCACCTACATTTACTAGAATTATGCCTCAGCTGCAGGCTATTGAAAAGATCTAATAGGCTCTTACCAACTTTGCAAGAATGCCTGCACGCACACATATGTGCATGTATGTGCACACTCACATTTATTTTAATGTGTATGGCTTGAAAACTTGCTATTTTTTTAGACTGAGAATGGCCTTGAGTTATATTGGAAGTAAATATTATGAAAAATACAGATCCAAATTTAATGATCATATTAAAATCTTAAATCTCCCTCATTCCCTTCCCCACTTTTCAGTTTCAGGATTTTTACAACATCCTTGTTTCATTTTGCTCAATTGCTGATGTAATGAACACTGCATACCAAACACATAAAAGACCATCTCCATAGCAATTGGTGAAGGTTTTATTGGTTTCCCTAGTTACTCTTGACTGATAACCATCTGTTGTTCTCCACTGCCCAGTGGGGAAGAGTAAATATGAGAAGGGAGGGGAAGTAGTCATTAGGGCCTTTCTCAAAGAGATGTTAAGTGTCCCAACCACGTTTCAGCACGTTTCAGCCTTTGATAGCAAATCCTGCAAGTTATATATCTCATACTATGTCTCACTCTTCTCCCATTTGTTGTTTTCTCAACTCTCAAATTCTAAGCGCATCAAGAGCTTACAGATTTTTGCTTAAGGAACTGCAAAGCACCATGTACTTCAATGGTGCTGTATATAATGACAATATTACAATATCTAGATTAAGATCCAAACCACTTGAAAAGGGGGGTTAATTTAACATTGTTCAAACTGAAATTCCTTTTCATATGCTGTGTGGAGTTTTCTACTCTAAAAAATCATTAAATAATCCTCTCAGAACCAAAACTGTAAATGTTCAACTTTGCATCAGATATTGGATCTTGACTTCTAAAAATAATAATTTGAATTGGATGAAGATGGCTGCTTGGGAAGAGGAGGATTGACTTTTGAAGTCATTAATTAAACTACAGGACAGTCTGATCTGATTTTATCACTTGTATAGGCAGATTTAATAATTCGGATTTGCTCCCACTAGATAAATGCTGCCACAGTTATATTATACACTGGCTCCTAAAAGAAGCATTCCTCTTGAGAACTCAACTTCTGATTTGTTTCAGTAACTAAGAAAACAATATTTAAAAAATGATCCTATTGACCAAATGAAGACCAAATCTTTTGGGTTAACCTGGGTTAGCCTGTTTGAATTCCAACGGTGGGATTCAACTAATGATTCCCATTAGCAGAAGCCCTCTGCACTGGTTTCTGCTTGTATAACAGTGCTTCCCTCACTCTATTGAAATTGGCTTGGGAGGCCAGAACAGTGCACAGGATAAGGAGAAGAGGGATTGTTCCATTCGGCAAACTGAAATGCTTGCCCTGTCAGCTTTAGTGTGATGTTGAATTCCTCCCCATTTGTTTGTAATGCAGTAACACTCTTGGAGCACTGAGACAACAGGATGAAGTTTGGTACACACATTCAAGGCAAAATTTCAACTTAAAACCCCAGCTCAACTCCCTCATAATATTTTCAAAGTGAGAACATGTGTGTGTGCGTGTAGGTCAAACATTGGTTAAAACATGAAGCATAGAATTTTATTCTGAAAATTGCATCCCATAGTCTTAAAGTTGAAGAAAATTACTGTATTATCCCTCTTGGCTTGAATATAGTGCAGTATGTCTACTGGATAACACTGAAATGATTGCTGGTGTAGACTTTCAGGATAACTTTCTTCGTTTCAAATATGAACCTCAATTTATTTTCAAGGGATGCAGGAAACATGAAATGCACAATTTAGTGTGAGAACATCCTTGAAGATTGAGATAAACGAATTAAAGTTGGCAGACACATTCAAGACACTTTTCTACATTTCAAAATTTTCTACATTTTCTACATTGCACCCTTTTCCAAAGGAGGATATTGCATATGGATTATAATGTGACACTGAAGAAAGACTGTTTGTAAACTTTGATTTTCCTAGTTCATATTCAGGGATGGGAACCTATAGCTCTCCAGCTGTGGTTGGATTCCAACGCTCATCAGCCACAAACAGCTTGGCTAATGGTTAGGGAGAAGAGGCACTGTAGTCCAACAACATTTAGAATGCCACAGTTTTCCTATCCCTGCCATACATTAAGTAACAGAACCTTTCATAATAAAATGGATTGGGATTTTCATAATGTGGATTGAGCTGGATCAACACTTTCACTTTCAACTGACCTAGTGAAATCAATGACACTTAAATTAGCCATTACTAACTGAAATCTCATAAATTTCAAAGGATTTACTTAAAGTATGACTAAATTTAGATCAAAGCCAGTGGAATTCTACTTAGAATACTCTTAAAAGCACTTTACATCCACTTTAAAAATCTCAATGTACTTTAGAAATCAAAGTTTCTGATGTGAATTGATGTTTACTATCCATCAATTTGGAAACCTCTCAAAGCTTCCAAATAAATAATAATGAACTGCACCTCCTCTAACTATTGGAAGAAAACCTAACAGCCTTGTACCTAGCAGAGTGTAACAGGGTGGGTAGGGTGGATATAGGACTTAAGGGTTCTCTACTCAGTTTTCAGCTCCAAACTGATACATGTTTCAAATGATTATCAATTCACATTCAGAAAACACCTTCTGGGCATTTACATTTTTCAGAAGGAAAAAAAGGATTCCTAAGGCTGCAATTCTATACTGTACACATATACCTGAAGTAGCAGCGCATGCGGTGGGGCAGAGCAATCCTCCTGACACTGTCGTCACTGAAGCTCATTTGGATGGGAATGGGGCAGAGCAGTGGAGAGGATGGAGGTGCACATGTGCGCTGGCAGAGTCAGTCAGATACTACCATTCTTCTTGTCAGCTTGGCCTTGCCATCGCCCTGTCCCATCAGCAGCAGTGACAGCACCAAAATGGCTCCACTGGTGCATTCACACCACATTAAATTCACTGCCATCTTGCTCTTCACCTCCTGGTAAGTAGCAGCAACATGAATGGGGGGGGGCAGGTGAGCGGCAGCACCCCACCCACTACTGACTTTAACCCTAATTTCAGATTCCTTCATCTTTCTGCATTTCCCTGGAAGCTGCTGCTATCAACTACAGGGGGGGAACATAGTGGTATTCTACAACTAACAGCAACAATAGAGAGGACAAGATTTTCCATTCAGGAATTAGGGCTAGTGAAAGGGATAAAGCTAACCTTTCATAGTGCTCTAACCACAACCCAAACTACTTCCCTCCCACAGCAGCTTTTAGGAAAATAAAAAGTCATTGGGAAGTTTGATTATGCATCCCTGCCTCATCAGGATGTCCAATATCCAGTATGCCTTGTACTGAATCAAACCATTGGTCCACCTCACACAGTACTGCCTCCACTGACTGGCAGCAGCTCTCCAAACAAAGATCTCTTCTTACAGCCCTACCTTGAGATGCCAGGAATTAAATCTGGGGCCTTTTGCATGCAAAGCATAGGAGCTACCACTGAGCTACGCTATACCCCACCCCTGCCATTACAGGAAGCATAGGTTTTTAAATGTTTAAAACACAGACATAAAACCTGAGCAGTTAAGCTTCCTGTTTTTGTCATCCCCTCCATCCCTCCTAAAAATTATTGCTTGAGGGTTTTTTCATTTTTGTTTTAATTTCCGTTAACGGATAGTCAGACATTTGAGATACAGACCACCCGCTTTACTTTTTCTTATATAGTCTGCATATATACAAAATGAGTACAACAGGAACACATAAATGTACAAATCCAACATCTCCCAAAAGATGACTGTAACTTAATCTGTTGTTCTGTTTTACACTATAATAAATTTGTTAGCTTTGAGGATGCACAAGAGTCTGTTGTTGTTGTTTTAACTAAAATGTAATCTAGCTTTACTAATTGCCACCAGCCTTGCATTTAGAAAGCTAATGTGTCAGAGAAACAGTTCTAGGCTAGACTTCTCCCTGCATACTGTCCCTTATACTTCTACTCTGTATACAGATCAGTTCTAAGTCTAAGAAATATTCTATGGCCGACATCATTAGACTGCATGAGTTTATTGCTTATATGCATATGTAGAAAACAATTCCCCAACCATTTTGCCCTACCTTTATCAGTTATGTCACAGAGCTATATTCCTAGAATCATTTCCATTTTGTTGAAAAAGGGGGTGCTGAGCAAATATTGCCTGAAAATCCTGCTCTCCCACTGAGTTTAAGTGAAGGGGTCACACTGGCATAATTCTGCAGCATCTTGCTGAACAGTATTAATAGCCCTTCACGATTGGTTCAGTCCATGGTTAAATTATATGCGTTCTGCTGTTTTGGCCAACACTACATGTTGACCCTCCCCCCTCCCAACAATCCCCAGAGAACAGAGTAACTCAGTACAAAAGGTTTGCATTAAATGTAATGAAACAAATGACAAAATCAATAAACCAGGAACTATGAGGCTATCATAAAAATGATGTAAACCCAGAGTTCACAATGGTTATAGAGCTATTTAAAATTGTAATTAAAACCAGCACAATTTTTTCCCTAGGATAAAAGCCTCCTTGACAGCCCCAAATATATGCTACAGGAAATCTTCAACAAATATATCCGAAGTTGGCATGAAGTCAGCATAAATTAGTCAAGGATCACCTCTAAGTGTACATTTTTGAGTCAAAGGGATAAAAAATTGAGAATGTTGGATTTTACATGATTTTTGAATCGCCATCTATTTAGCAAAGCTACACAGCTACACAACATACGGCACAGACCAAATTAATTTAGTTAAATGTTCCAATCAAGTGCCTGACAAGGAGATTTTGTTTAATATCAATGGCAATAAATTTTGCTAAAGGTCAGCTTTAACCTCATGTATTTATCTATCCTTACTATTCAACCTTTGACTTCTTTTGCTGCCCAGTTTTGGTGTAACTGAATGAAACATTAAACACAGTCATGCAACATTTAGTCATATGAATTATACTTAGTTGTGGAAACTATTCCTCTGAGCTAAAGTGACATTTTTCAGGCACCCTTCCATTATAAACATTTGACTCCAGCATCAAACAAGGAAGGTAAAGAATGTTCCATTCAAGGTCATAGTTGAGCAGGTTAACATAACTGATGACAACAACTCAACAATAGCCAATGACCTTACAAAACCTCCTCTTCCCATTCTCCAAGTATAAAACTGAGGTCAATACAGTTGCACTTAGGACACAAAGGAAAGCTGAGTATCAATCCTAAGCACAAAAAGCTCTAATCATAGTTCTGCTAAAAGGAGAAATGTACCAAAATGTGTATATAACTCTGTAGTAAACATTTCCACAATGAGAATAAGTAACAGCAAAATCTGTTGAAGATAATTCTGTCGGTGTACATATGAAAGTTTTTTTAAACATAGGACATACCTGGATGAAATTGCTTAATTACATAAGCAATGTCAGATATAGCATGAAAAGAATTAAAATATATAGTGCAATCCTGTGAATGCCTACTCAGAAGCAAGGGCCATTGAGTTCAATTGGATTAACACACAGGTAAATAACACAGAGATTAACACACAGTCTAAATAAGATTTTAAATTGTGACTGCTCCAATTATTTAGATTTGCTACTGATAAAATTTCACCTCTAATCTATACATGTTAGGGTGTCCTATAGAGGGCAGTCCTCTATTTGACTGTGTTCACTTTTTGAAAGTATGTTTGATCCAAGTCTGCTTTAAAGAACCAGACTTAATCAATACTTAGCACCTGGACAGCAGAGGCCACCTATGGTGAGATGTTTCTATTTAAACTATACCCACAATTTCTAAATTTGGATCCATGCATAAAAATTAATATGCACAAATGTTATGCATATCATCTATGCCATTTCCCCCTTTTCTTGGTGATGCATCTGTTCTTCTTTGGTGATGTGTAAATGGCAATCCTAATTATTTGTAACTTTATTTTAATATCTTCAAAGTTATCATTTAACCCCTTATTGACCTGGTGTTTTGCTGGGATAAGAGTGACTGGGCAAAGACTAAGGCCAGTGCTGGAGTAGGGCAGGTGACAAGTCTGGCTTTTAAATGAATTGTTGCTGAAAGATCCACCCTGACTAGCAAAGCCTACACCCAGAAACAGAAAAGGAATGCAAATGTTTCTTCTGCCCAACATTCCAAAGCAATCTTTTAAGCATACTTCCATAGATTTCATTGACTGCACCCAGCTGCATAACTTTAATTGCAGGAAAGTGTTCCAGTTGCAGAGGCCAGAATTCTAGCCACTTTTTGTACCAGGCACTGGAATCTAAGTCTGGATGGAAATCAAATTACATTCTCGGTTATTTAGTTTGCAAATTAGACTATATTCTTCTTCATGGACTATATTCATTAGAATATAGTCTTCTTCATGGTGATCCAACCTGTACCCTATCCTAGTTACTGCAATTAAGCCAAGAGGAAATGTTTTCACTTGGGGAATTATCTCCTCAGATTGCCACCATTAAGTACATATACAATGGGCAGGGCGCAACCTATGTGTCAATTAGATTCCTATGCAGTTCTTCCTATAAGAGCTCATTTGCAGAAAGGGCAAAGGTCACAAAATCTGGAGCCAATATAAGCCAAACTGTAGTTATGGGTCATGTCTGGATCAGGCTGGATCTTCATCAAGCAGCTATACTGCCTTTGTTAACAGATGAAGCCAAATCAGTGTCAGATCCATGAAGCAGTGACTGAATTTGAACCAAGGTCATGAGGCTCTGCAAATGCTGCAAAGCAGAATTGCTCTTGGTCCAAACTCTACTAATGCCTTGTCTTGATTCCACTCCTGTGCATAGACAGGCTTGATCATCTCCTTGCTCCCCTTCATTTTCCTCCACCTACCCTTTGCTCTTAGTCTATATGCAACCTTATAATATGCTGCTTCCTGGAAACAAAAGAAAAAGATGAAGAAAATAGTGGTGCGTAAATGTAAACAATATGCTTTTACTGCAGTTGTATGCTGCACGGAGATTTTATTACAGTGAGGCATGGGAACTAAAAGGTTGCAGCAAAGGTTTTACAGAAAAGTAGAAGATATTTGGAAGAAGTGATATCACACAAGTGTTTTAAAAAGTATATCCAAGCATAAGGGGCAGAAAGGGGTGGAGTCATTTGCGGGAGCAGGAGAAGGCTGAGGGTAATAGAACTGGATGAATGATGGTCATGGGCAGGGATGTACCGGGATAAAATAGCAGGGAAATAAACAGGGAAAGGCAATGGTGACCTTTCTGCTGAATTGAGGAACGTGTGGTCACACTGATGAGAGTGCTGAATGATCCTGGCAGCAGAATGCTGGATGAAAGCAAGGGAGCTGTGGTGACATAAAGGAAGAGCAGAGAGGGGAATATTGTAGTGGTCAAGGTGAGGGATGACCAGGGTGACAAAGATAAAGAACCATATTTCTGCAGTGCTGCAAAAGGAAAAGCTATAGTCTTGGAAACTGATTGAAGAAGAAGAATAAGAAGAGGAGGAGGCAAAGAAAGTCAAGACTTTATACCTGTACAACAGGGTATGTGGCGACATTTTCAGTGGATATGAGGTAAAAAGGGCTTGGGAGAAAATATGATAATTTTAGGGTCTCACATGTTGATTTTGTGAACAGTGAAGCATTACACTAGAAATATCCAACCAAGTCATTTGGAAAGTTTGGACAAAAAGAGGGAGAAAATACTTGGTAGAGATGTAGAACTGGATGACATATAGATGTATAGATTGTCTGGAAAGTCATGGGATTTGATGAGGTTACTGAGGGATAACATGTAGACAAAGAGCTGCAGAAAGCCAATAACAAGTTATTGAAAAATCCCAATAGACAGAGGGAAAGCTGTGGAAGATTCCCTAATAATAATAATAATAATAATAATAATAATAATAGAATCATAGAGTTGGAAGAGACCACAAGGGCCATTGAGTCCAACCCCCTGACAAGCAGGAAACACCATCAGAGCACTCCTGACATATGGTTGTCAAGCCTCTGCTTAAAGACCTCCAAAGAAGGAGACTCCACCACACTCCTTGGCAGCAAATTCCACTGTCGAACAGCTCTTACTGTCAGGAAGTTCTTCCTAATGTTTAGGTGGAATCTTCTTTCTTGTAGTTTGGATCCATTGCTCCGTGTCCGCTTCTCTGGAGCAGCAGAAAACAACCTTTCTCCCTCCTCTATGTGACATCCTTTTATATATTTGAACATGGCTATCATATCACCCCTTAACCTCCTCTTCTCCAGGCTAAACATGCCCAGCTCCCTTAGCCGTTCCTCATAAGGCATCGTTTCCAGGCCTTTGACCATTTTGGTTGCCCTCCTCTAGACACGTTCCAGTTTGTCAGTGTCCTTCTTGAACTGTGGTGCCCAGAACTGGACACAGTACTCCAGGTGAGGTCTGACCAGAGCAGAATACAGTGGCACTATTACTTCCCTTGATCTAGATGCTATACTCCTATTGATGCAGCCCAGAATTGCATTGGCTTTTTAGCTGCCGCGTCACACTGTTGG